AGTGTCTGTTTATCTCACCAGATTGTCCGCTCTTATGTGGAAGGTTTATTACACATTCATCTTTAAACCCCGGCACCTAGCATTGTGCCTGACATGTAGTAGGCTTGCAATAAATGATTATTGAAGCATTATTTCAACAAGCCTGCATTTTCAACCCGGGAAACTACTGCTCGGAGGGCTTAAGGGATTTGTCCAGGATATAAACTAATAAATGGGGGAAATGAAATGCTAATCTAGGTCTGTCTGATGCCTCAGACACTTCCAGCTACTCCACACCACCTTCAAAGCGAAAAACCCAGAATTCTGTGAGCTGCAAAAGTTACATCTCCTGAGGGAATTTTTTCCATTTCCTTTTGTTTTTACTTCGTTTGAATCGCAGATATTTTTTAATCTGAGGGGAAATATGGGCTTTGTCCCCAGAAACGTGTACATACACAACAAATCTTGTGTGAAACATTAGAATGTAATTAGTCAGAATAGAGTAGCTATTGCTGCAGTAACATATAAACCACAAAATCTCAATGACATAACAAAAGTTTAATCCTTCGCCATATAAAGTTCTCTGTGAGTCCACAGGGGCTCTTTTTTTTAAAGAATCTTTAAATTTATTTTGAGAGAGAGAGAGAGAGAGAGAGTATGAGCAGGGGAAGGGCAGAGAGAGAGAGGGAGAGAGAGAATCCCAAGCGGGCTCCATGCTGTCAGCACAGAGCCCAATATGGGACGCGATCTCATGAACCGTAAGATCATGACGTGAGCCAAAATCAAGAGTCAGACACTTAACAGACTGAGCCACCCAGGAGCCCCAGCAGGCTCCATCCAGCAAGTCAGAGCCATAGGCTCTATCGACCATAAGCCACTGTTATCTCAACACACACTATGAAATCACAAAGACCGGAGAAGAGAGAAATGAAGGAGGCACACTGAGTTTTAACTGCTTTTGTGAAAGTGGTGCATATCTGTGGTAAATCCCAAAATACCCACAAATTCCTTGCAACCTTGTACGCACACCCCTTTGCAAAGTGACTCTGCTGTTCCTTCTATCAGTAGGTATGATTTGTGTCTCTGTCTCTTGAGTGTGGGTTTGGCCATTGCTTTGGCCAGTGGGACATTAAGAAACATGATTCAAGCAGAGGCTTAAAAGGCACTTCTGCCTTGGAGCCTGTCCTTTCTTGCTGTTCTTTGGAACCATGAAATCACCGTGAAGAAGACTGAGTCTGTTTGGAGAACTGTGGCCCACTGACCCCATCGCTTCAGTCAACAGTCAGCACTGATAGACAGACAGAATGAATCCTCAAGTAGACAAGGCAATGCTGTATCAGCCAGCCCCCTCCCAACCCACCAGCTGGTTGAGGTTGCATGAGTGAACCCAGCAAGACCAGCAGAATGACCCAGCTTAGCCCAGACCTATTTGATAACCCAAAGAATTTTGAGTTAGTAAATGACTACTAAGTTTAGGAATTTTTGTTATGCAGCAAAAGCTAACTAATACAAAAATAGGTACCAGGGGGAGAGTATTGCCGTAACAAAACCTAAAATGTGTGGGATTAATTATGGAAATGGAGGATAGAAAATTAGTTATCAAAGACTGAAAAAAACAATGAACTCTTGGGGCGCCTGGGTGGTGCAGTCGGTTAAGCGTCTGACTTCAGCCAGGTCACGATCTCGCGGTCCGTGAGTTCGAGCCCCGCGTCGGGCTCTGGGCTGATGGCTCAGAGCCTGGAGCCTGTTTCCGATTCTGTGTCTCCCTCTCTCTCTGCCCCTCCCCCGTTCATGCTCTGTCTCTCTCTGTCCTAAAAATAAATAAACGTTGAAAAAAAAAATTAAAAAAAAAAACAACAACAATGAACTCTTGGTGGATCCATAGGCATACAGTTATGAGTTTCTTTGTACAATTTAAAGGCCTGGAGACATATGATCATTTTCTAAAACCTATTCTTAGAGAAGAGAGCTACGGCCAGAGAGTGGTGAGGTGTGATAATTGTGCTATACCTGAATCCACCCTGGAACTTCTAAAAGGAGCGTAAAGCCTTGGAATTACAAACAGAAGACTTTGGGAGTCAGGAAAAAACAAAAAAATAACAACATAAAGTCCATACCTGATCGTAGGTTTCCTTGTGGACTCAGTTATGGAACCCCATGTCAGAGGCATGGAAAGTGACAGTTATTAGCTTATCGTCAAGATCAAACAAGATGACATATGGGAAAGCCTGTTAAATTGCTAAGAACTCCCCACGAAAAATCTGTTTTATCACTGCTGCCTGAGGCCGCCATCCTCCTGGCATAACCTCAGGTGAGCAGCACTGTAAGCCACCAGGGGGCAAAGGACCCCAGGAGAGTCATTTGGGAAGGTAACGTTAGTATGAAACACAAACAACGAATTCTGTTTAACCAAGTGGCACATATTCTGGGTAGAGAGAACAGCATGCACGAAAAATCTGGCAAGAGAGCACCTGAGTCATTCATGTAACTGGCCGCTAAAAATTGCAGGGTCCTCCATGAGTCCATCGGGCTGAGGAGGTGGAAGGGGAGCCTTGTCTTGCAAGGATGTGGCTTCTCTTAAACGCACGCCGGCGTGCGAGAGAACATGGATCTTTCTTGAAATGCAATTTTCTGCTTGTTTACAAATGATTAACTACCACAATCAATTGTGGCAAAGTTCAGGTCGCTGCATCCTTTGGGACAACAGCGAGATAGTGCCTTGTGCTTGGGGTAATGATAACTGGGATGCACACAGGATGGTCTGACAGCAGAGTTTGTGTTCTGTGTTCTGGGCCCAATTAACGCGAAGGGGTGGCCTCCCTCCATGGCCTTCCATCCATCCCTTTGCCGCTCTTGCTTATCTGCCTTCCCAGCCCTAGCCCGGCCCCTCTGGCACATGTGGCAGGATGGGGTGCCGGCTGGCACTCAAGAGTACTCCACCCTATGAGGGGAGCTAGGTTAAGGGCTTAATGTGTTCTGTATCCACTCCCCAGAATAACCTTGATGAGTTGTTATCTCCATTTTTCAGAATAGAAAACAGAGAAATGAGGTCGCTTGTTTAAGGAAATGCTATGCAGTCTTCCTCCCAGCGCATGGCCAAGCTGCCTGCTGCCTCCCCCCACCCTGGGTCCCCTCATCAACACCTGCAGCATCAACAGCAACAGGACCGTCTTCCTCCATGTTTATACAGCCCTTAATGCCCTGCAGGTTGGTTCCATAAATGCAAGGTTAGTGCAGCTTGGACTTTGTTGATTCTGAGGAGCCAGTGGTGGTTTGCAGAGAGGTGTGTTTGGGATCCTTGGCCACTTGCACATTGCCTTTGAGTCTGTGCTATGCTTCCTCCAACCCCACGCCAGTGCCCCCCACCACAGGGACGGCAGGTGCCGTCTCCAGCTGAGAAGTGGGGCTGACACTGTGTCAGCCAGAACTGAAAATGTGAACACGTCCATCCGACACCCAGTCACGGGTCCTCTGGGAATCATTTCTAGACGTATTGAGGTGAACATTTGCTTGGATTACGCCCTTGCAAGAGAGTCTCATGTGACATTTTCCTTTAATCCCGTTTGAGAGGGACGCCACATCGAAATGGCAGGGCAATCGGCGTGCTACTCAGAATAATGAAAAGTCGAAGGAAAATCCCTCTTCCAGGCTCAAGTTTATTCACCATACATGAATGGCACCTGCCTTTGCTGTGTTCACCCCTAGAGGAAAGAGTGAGTCCCTCTGACCTGCAATGTGGGAGACATGGTAGGTGGAAGGCAATGGTGTTGACTGAACTCTTTTCAGGTTGCTACCACGTGGGGGTTTGTAGGGTCACTAGCAAATATGGGAGACGCCTGTTCAATCTACCACTACCAATCACCTAGTATGCTTTCCGGCAAGGTCAGGAAAGCTCTCTGCTTTTCCCCAAACCGTGGTGAAGTTCCATGTAAGTTATATAATAACAAACAACACAGATTTGGATAATTACTCTTTCACAGTTATTTTTTTCAAGTGTATTTGCTTGTTTTGAGAGAGAAAGAGAGCACGCAGGCAGGAGAGGGGCAGAGAGAGAGGGAGAGAGAGAATCCCAAGCAGGCTCCTCACTGTCAGCACGGAACCCGACATGGGTCTCAATCCCACAAACTGTGAGATCATGACCTGAGCCGAAATCAAGAGTGGGATGCTTAACCAACGGAGCCACTCAGGTGCCCATACAGTTACTGCTTTTATGATGCCTTTTTATGAAGCACTTTCACAGTTAGTAGCCCAGTGACTCTCCCAACCCTGAGTGATGGGTAAGCCTAACTCTCCAAATTTCGTGGACGAGGGAACAGAATCAGAGAAAGTCAAAAAAAAAATGGCAGGTCACTTACAGAGAGGGCACGTAGAACGTGCCAGGCACCCTTCAAAGTGTTTTAAATATTTCAGTTGATTTGGTCTTCACATCAGCCTTGTGAGTTGGGCACTATTATTCTCGTTTTATAGATGAGGAAAGAGGCTCCCAGAGGTTAATGATTTGCCACGGGTCATACAACTAGTGAAACATACCAAGAGAATTCTAACTCGGGTAGACAGGTTCTAGAGCTCAGCAGCTCCTCATTGACTTGCTCGAAGTCACACGGCTAGAAAGAGGCAAGACACAAAGCTTGGTTTGACTTCCCACGCTGCCTTCCACTTCATAGTAATAGCTCCCACGTGCGAGTGTTTCCCATGGGCCTGTCCTCGTCGCCTTACTTAGGTTACTTTCCGTAAACGTCACCACCTTGCAAGCGAGGAAACCGAGGCCTAGAGGTAAAGTGACTTGCCAAAGGTGACGAAGCAGAGAAAGGATTTGAACCCAGGCAGTCTGGACCTAGAGCCCACAGGCCCCACTGACAGCCTGTCCTCTCGGCTGCTTCCCCGGATAGTCTGTGTCGTGTGCTGCACAGTTTTCCACCGTTCTCATTGGTGTCTGGGGTCACAGGCACGGTTCTGTCCGTGCAAAGTCTAAGGGGTTTCCAGGCACCACTGGCTTTCTGTTTACTTTGCTGAACTGTTTGCTCTGTGGGGACAGAAACTCCCTGTGCAGACTTTTCATGGACCTCGGAGCCTCAGCTGAAGCTCCATCACGTAGAGACAATGAAGATATCGGTGCCGTGGGCTCGGAGGACACCATCAGAACTGATTCTTCTCTCTGCTGCCCTGGGCTGCCTCAGTTTGCCCGGCTCCAGGTAAGTGATGGTGACAAGTGATTCGCCAGTCAATAATGTGACAGGGAGTACGAAGCCACAAAATGCTGACCGCCTCTTTGTCGTGCGTCTATTGAATAAGGAGCATCTCCTCGAGCAATTTGCATGCATTTGGTAAAATAATATCAACAACTGTCTTCAGATTATTATGGAACCAAGCATCTGACTTCAACACAAGTTCCCCTGAGAAACTGACATGTTTAAATGTATTTTGTCACGCTGAGAATAGGATACTTGTTCTGTGTTCTGAACAAAGCTTCTTTGCGCAAAAGAAGGCCTGTCATGTATGGAAAAAAGAGCCAATTCACATCAGTGACTTTAATGTCTGAGTGGGACCCACTCTACCTGCTCATCAACCCAAATTCTGTGGGTTCTCAGGTTCTCTCTCTCTCTCTCTCTCTCTCTCTCTCTCTCTCTCTGTCTCTCTCTCTCCCTCTCTCTCTCTCTCTCTCTCACACACACACACACACACACACACACACACACTCCTGTATGTTCCCAGCAGTTAAGTTCTAACTGATTTATTTCATTATTTTTGGTATTGTTAATAGGATACAAGACAGGCTAAAGAAAATATCTTAGCGAAAGCTCAAACATGGGCTCCGGTGAAAGATGTGCCAGTGACTTGGCAATTAGGAGATCCTCCTGGTACATGAGAAGCCCTTCCATGACGCTGAAACGCTCAGGTATCCCAGGCCTCCTTGTGAGCAGGCCTTCCCTGTGGGAAGAAGGGCTGTTCATGCCATTCCTTTTGTTGATTCCATAAATGCTGTCTGAGCACAACCTCCCACTTAATGTGAGGAGCACCAGTGCCCATTGGACACACCCCCCGGTCTCACCTCTTCTCAGCACTCAGCTGCCACTGGGCACCACCCCTAAGACCAGAACGGAGAGGTTCACTACCCATTGGGCACTCAACAAATAATAGCTATTATGGATTATCAAGAATCTCAACTTGGCCCCACGAAGAACCAAGCTGCCGAGGCCTGCCTTATATGCGTGTACTATGTATACACAGAGAAGGGTTAAAGACCCAGGGATATGTGTCTGGAATGGAGGTTGAAGGGGCTCATAGCAACCTGACCCCCTGCAAATAGGAGTGACCCCTTTGCAAGACCCCTTGTCAGGCTCTAAGGATACAGAGATGAGTAAGACACAGAGAGCTTGTGTTCTCATGGAAAAAGCCACCATGTGGGCACACACTCTAGGTACAGTTGCAAGAGATGATACAGGGACAGGTGAGAAGCAAGAGAGGGAGTGACCAGCTCTACTGGGCATTCAGTAAGTCTGGAAAGTCTTCTAGAAAAGGACGGTATTTGAGCTGAATCTTTATATAAGAATAGATGTTCGCCAAATGGCCCAGGGGGTGGAGGGTGTTCAAGGCAAAGGAAGCATCACAGACGAAGGCATGGAAATACGAGAAGCCTGGCTTGTTCCTGAAGCTTCAAGTCTATTTCAGGAGGCCTCGAGCACGGGCCAAGGCGAGGCACTAGCAAAGACGAGATCAAGTGGGAGTCAGCAGGATCAGAGTGGGTGGAGTGGAGGAGCAGTAGGGTGGGAGCTAAGGATCTTGAACCTTCCCCTCTAGCAATGGGGAGCCATTGCAGCGTTCTAAGCCAAGGAGCTGCACGATCATATTTATATATTCGGAAGTTCACTCTGACATGGAAAGTGGAGGTAGGCGTAGTAGATAAGTAGAGTGTCTTGTTTAATCCTCCAGCCATGCCATGAGATGGATATTCTCTCTTATTCACACTATGTAGCAAGGCAAAAGGGTCCTCAGAGAGGAGAAGAGATTCACTCACGTTGTCAGTCTCAAACCCCCACCAGGTTTGGTGTTCTGGCCTCCACCCGTGAGTTCCACTGGGCGGTCCCGAACACAGCAGGTATTTGAGTTCCATACTTGAAGTGGATGAACAGCCTTCAGTTCTGGCACAGGAGAAACTGAGACCTCCCTCATGTTAGCTCCCAAGAAAGGTTTTTGTTTAGTTCTTATAATCATGTCAGATGAAATAATCACATCGTCTTAAGACCTATTGTTTATTTATCGCTGCTCTGTGCCAGCCACTTGGATGCATTAGCTCTAAGCCCTCACAGCTATTGGAGGTAAGTTTTATTGCTTACAGTGTTGCAGAGAGGGAAACTAAGATTGGTAGATAAGGTAAATGTCACAAAGCTACTCACTTAATATGTAACAGAATATGGATTCCAATCCAATTGTTTTTTTTGTTTTGTTTTGTTTTTTCTGGCTCCAGAGCTCCTTTGTATCCCTGTACTATCCTGCCTCTCAAATGCATTATCCCCTCTCCAGCTGCATTGTGTATCTGATGTGCTGGGCCCCCATGTCATTTCTCTATCTCTGGGCCACACATTTGTTGCCTTGAGATGTTGCTTTAAATTTCACGTCTACAACAGCAAATGACAGAGAGAGGAGAAATTGAAACTCTGCCACCCAGAAGCTGCCTCTTCCAGCAAAGAGGAAGGATGCTATTTGCAAAGGGAATGTCGCTGCCTAACAAATTGTGTGTGACAGAGAGTTGTTGTGTCAGGGCATTTCTACAGAAAGCCAAAATATATTGACACACCCCATCTCTGTAAGTTGATGGCTTGCAATTTACTGCTGACCTAATCCTGCCTTCCTCGATGGATCCATCTTTATTTTGATCAGAAACTCCTGTTAGAAAGAGAGTAGGAGACAGGGACCCAGTGAAATATATCCTGATGTTGGCAATTGCATTCTGTACACCTCAAGGAAAGGCACATCCTTGCCATTCCTTATGTAGAGGGATATGTTACAAGGACTTGTAGAAGCGTATTTATTGTAGCGTTATTTGCAATTGCAAAGCATTGGGAAAATATAAATGTCTTTCAAAAAGAAAAAGAATACATTGAATGCAACGTATGTCCTCTGATGGGACATCAGAGGTAAAGAAATGAATTAGATCTCTCTATGAATCTACATGGAGAGGGCTCAGAAGTAGAGCGTTGATTGACAAAAGCAAGTTGCACAATAATATGCATAGTGTGAGTAAAGCACACAAAAACAATGTTATATGTTGTGCGTATATAATATGTAAAAATATTTAAAGGGCTCAAGGGATACATGTAAATCCCCGACAATAGTTCCCTCTGAGAAGGAGGAGAGGGAAATGTATCCGGGGCTGGTATCCAATGCAGATGTGTAATGTATAGGGTTATTTTCTATTAAAAAAAAATTTTGAAGGAAATATACCAAAATGTTAATAATTGCCAATCATGGGTTATGACTACATGAGTGTTTATTATTTTACTTTCTGTACTTCTCCGGGCATGTTTAAAAACATAGAGAGGATTTTGAATGACAGAGTCATTTCAGTTGGTCAAAAGGTCCATCTGGTCTGTTTCCGTAAAAATCCGTGGGCATGAAATGAATGTGCTGTATCCCTACACAGAGGCCAGGATTTAAAGATGCAATTGAATGCCAGCCTTTCTTTCCAATTTGCATTTTGTAGTACCAATAAACCACACACATCCTAACTGATGTAATTTACAAACATACTATTTATTCAGCTGATTACTTCATTATACTGCCACCTCCATAATGAAAATGGGGTGCAAAAATGAGAGACCTGGTGGCTATAACTACTTTTTACCAAGTTCCTTCTGTAAACGATCATCTCGCCTATTAACAGGCTTTCAAATCTCAGAGAAGAAAATAATTGTGACTCTTAATACAGTGCGTGTACATTACCCATCCACTCAGTCTCAACTGTGCCCAGAATTGCCTTGATAGTTGCTAAAAACACAATGTAACCGTTTCTTAGTTGAAACAGGAAGAGGGTACCCTGCCGAGCTGTCAAATATATACTTAGGAGAAGCCGAATCACAGACAATATTGTTTTGTCAAACCCCAGCAAATTAGTAGATATAAGAACACATTCTGAGCCCCGCTCCTGGGGTGCAGCATCCTGCCTCAAGTAACCATTTTAAAAGTATCCACCTGTGGTTTCCAGGAGAGTCTTTGACCTTTCCTTAAAGATCCAACTTTACTAGGCAATTGATTTTTGCTGGTCTCTGGGGCGGTTTTGGAGATGGATTTCACTGTAGTTAATATTATCCTCTTTTTAGGACTTTTGCCAAGTGAGAATGTATTGTTAATGCCCTTGTCTGGAGTGATGTACTATGTATTTGAGACAATGGAAACTGTGTGATGCTCTCCCTAATGACTCAATCTTGGACACAGAGATGAAAGAGACCTTGCATAGAGACAGAGGGCACTGGTAGAGTGGATGCTGTTCCTGGCACCCTTCCAGGCAGCATGGGGGAAATGGATAAAGAGGCATTAGAGTCCAACAGACCTCAGCTCAGACCCCCAGGACCACTGCATACCAGCTACGTGACTTTCAGTCATTTCCCTCATCTGCCCAAGTGGCAATGTCCTCTCGCATTGTCGTGAGGATTCAAGGAGATGGCCCAGGTAAAACACCTCACACAGAGCTTGACATGTCCTGGGTGCTCAGAAAATCTTTGTTTTTCTTTCTCATCTCTTTTGCCTTGAAAAGGAACACAGGTTGCAAGATTATGTTCTCACCGGTAGAGGAAGGGTAAAATCTAAATGCACCCGTCATGGTTTTTTGTTTGTTTGTTTGTTTTGTTTTGTTTTGTTTATTTTTTTAATTTATTTATTATTTATTTTTTTAATATATAAAATTTATTGTCAAAGTGGTTTCCATACAACACCCAGGGCTCCTCCCAAAAGAGGCCCTCTTCAATACCCATCACCTACTCTCCCCGCGCGGCCCCCCCCCCCCCCCTGTTACACACGGAGTTAACTGGAGGCCTAGACAGATTCAATACCAAGTTTGTTTATCCACTCTTTTACTGAATATCCCACCGAATGCCAGGAACTCCACAAAAAGCATCACCTTACTTTCTATACATAGTTCATGTTGTTTGACAGCTCTATAGATGCGACACTGTCTGCCCCTTCCACCCACCCACCCTGCCCTCACCTACATCCCCTTATATGCTCTGTCTGCTCTGGACTGGCAGGGCACCATTGTCTCTTGGGCTGCTGGTGGTATTGCTGTCCCTCAAGGACTTCTCTCTGGCCTGCTTCTCCTCTCAATAACAGTCTTATGCTCTCCCATAGCTTCTCGGGATCAGCTCCGTGTCTCTAGCGAAAATCTCTCTTCGGAGTACCAAACCCACTTAGGAACTAGTTGCTGAATACTCTACATAGGTGTTCTGTGAGCGCCTGGGACTCAGCATGCCCGCCCACATCCTCTCCAACAAGCTCTTTTGCTCCTGTGTCCCCCACTCGCGCACACACGCAAACTAGAACCAAGCATCAACCTGAACCCCTTCCTGTCTAACCTCTTCCTCTCATTTTCTATCCGTTCCACTGGAGCAACATCTCGTCTACCTGCCCCCCCACTCCCCGCCATGTGCTCTCCCCTAGACATTGCCATGGTTCAAGTTCACATCACTCATTGATGCTACTGCATGAGCCTTCTGCCTGCTTGTCCCACCTCCAGGCTCTCCTCACCCTGGCCCAGCCTCCACACTACAGTGACGTCCTAAGGCAAACTCTGGCCCTGGAGCCTGCGTGCTTACAAACCTTGCCTACTGGATGAGTCCCAAAGAGCTAAGATATGAGACATGTTTCTCTTCTCCTGTTCTAAGACAGACGTGAGCTCTAGAAGGCAGAACCTATGTTTTATATTTCCCTGTATCCCCTGTAGCACAGTACCCTGAATGTTGTTCGTTCTCAGCAAATGTTTCATGCACTCTTAACATGGGAGAGTGCCTTAAAGACCATCTAGTCCAAACCTCTCCTTTCCCTGGCATAACACAGAGGCCCCCAGTGAGGAAGGAATTGCTTCAAGTCGTACATCTAGCTGTGGTTGTATTCCCTGCTTATCTGTAGCAGTTTAGCGTTTATAAAGTACTCTCACGTGTACTTTCTCAGTGAATCCCAGGAATAGCCTAGGGAGGGAGGCATGATTCTCCCATTACATGGATGAGAAAAGTGGAACTCACACAGGTCGAAAAGGCAAGTCAGATCCCCCAGGTGCCGATGGACTGTCTTCTGCTCTTGAGTTCGGTGCTCTTTCGACGATAGCTGGCCAAAATGGAAGGCACTTATGGGTGTTTGATAACTATTTGCTGGATGAATTAACCTATACTTGAATGAATAGCCTCACGCAAATGAGCAAATATATATATATATATATATATTGAACGGATGGGTAGGTGGTTGTATGCATACTTAATTCTTTTTTGACACTTGATTCTGTTCTCTCATGATGGCCATTTAGAGGTGAAAGGCCACAGTCTCTTGAGTCAAATGCAGTCAATGAGAGCCTCGCCAAGAGCAGACACACACGGAATGTGGATGTCTCACTGATGCCTATTGATTGTGAACTTTCCAGCTGGTCCTCCTGGACCACATGTGATCCCTGTCAGAAGAAAAGGGTAAGTACTCTGGCCTTGGGGGAGCTCTAAGCTTCCAGAAGCCCTAACTCTCAGCAAGAGTGGTGAAGGCACTGCTGACAGTGCCTGGCACATAGTAGGATCTCATTGAACGTTGGCTCACTTGATGAAGTCTGTTCCTCAGTGTTTCCAAGTAGTAGATCCTTTCTTCAAGCTTCCAGCTACTTGCCTAGCATACTTATCCTTGCTCAGGTTAATAGCTTCCTAATCAGACTTCCTGCCTCCAAACTTGCTCTTTCAGTCCATCTTCATGGTACAACCAGGGGAGCTATTGAAAATGCAAGCGTGGCCTGTCTTTTCCCAGCTTGAAACCCGTTCAAAGTCTACACATGGCTCTTGAGATCAGATCCAGACTCACGGTCTTCAAGGCCCCCATGACGTTGACCTGGCCGACATCTCCATAAAGCATCCCCCACTCTGGCCCACAGAACACTTGTCTCTCTCTGACCATTTCACACTCTCTCTCTGCCTTTATTCATGCTGCTTTCTGAGGCTGGAGTGACCTTTCCCACTTGCATTGCTGGCGAACACCTACTCATTATTTGAAACCCTGCCTACAGGCTACCTCTTTGGAGCTCTTCGTTGACTTCTCAGCCCTATGTGCTATTAGATAGCCAACCTTCCAACACCTGTAATAGCTCCCTGTTCTTCCTGTCATTTACTTTTCCTTAATTACTTACCTTTCCATTAAGTGGGAAGCTGTTGAAGGTTTATTCAATTCTATACCTACAATGTAGGCCAATTTCTGGAACATAACAAGAGCGCCATAAATAGGTATTGTTTGATCGTGTGATATTTTCTGGCACCTCCAGAAGGAAAGGAAGGCAGCGGTGGCCCTTTCTGTTAGGCAAATAGGTAAACAGAGACTCAGAGCGGGCGGTTTGTCAGGTTCACCTAGCAGCAGATAAAGGCCTTGAATTTGGGCCGCTGGCTTCTTGTCTCGTGGCGTCCCACAAACAAACGAACGAACGAACAAATAAACAAACAAAACCCACCATAGTCCCTGCCGTATTTGTGCTTCAGGTTCCCCTGTCATACGAGGGCTGACGCGGGATCCCAGCTCTGAGAACAGCAGGTATGTGAGAGAAAAGAGAAAAGAAGAGGGTTGCCATTTCCCCAGCTCCTCAGGATATCAAAGCAGCCACGGGCTAAGACCCTAACGAGGCTGTAAAAGTGGACCCAGGACATTTACACGCTTAACTAGATCTTTGTGGAGAGCCAAGCAGGATCATTCAGCTCCCAAAGTGAGCTTTATTGCTGAAGTGATCAGCATTGATCCAATTATCTGTACAATTGTTTCATCTGCAGCATAAACCAGGAAGACTCAGCATGAGCCAGCCAGCCAGCCAGCACTCTTCACTCGGAGTTTGTTACGCACTGGCCCTCAGTGGACATCATCACTCTCTGCAGGGTCACTGGCTGCAGGGTTATCAAAACCCTTCAACCGGAATTTTGAGATGCCTCTCTCCCATCATTTCCACACCCCTCAATCCCATTTTGTCTTTGGTGCCTGGGGCTGGTCTTCTAACAATCTTCTTTGCAGACCTCATCCCTGTCCTGCCAGTCTCTGCCTTCCAGGACAAAAGACCCTCTGGGGTCCCATGCAAAGGAGCGTGGGTGAATGGTTGTCTGTATTTTTTTTTTTTTTTTTGGCAGGGAGAGGTGGGGAGGGGTGTCCAGATGCCATACAAATAATAACTATGGTTGGTTAACATGTCATTCTGCAAAGGGGCTGCTACCCTGGCTTGTATGATTTCGTCGCACCAAACTCTTGCCTACAACTAGTATTTGGAAGCCACCCAGACGGGATCACTTTTCCCCCTATAATTGTTTCTCATTGCCTCATAGTAAAATACTAAATCTAACCTGAGACCTGGGGGGCCCTCCCTTACTTGCCCCTGGCTATGTCATCCTCCAGCTCTGGCCACCGCCCTCCTGTATTCTTCTCTCTGGCCAAGATGAACAGCTTTTGGTTTTCTGGAACAAGGCACACTCTCACTAGTCTCTCAGGTTTGGTAGAGCGACATTCTCCCCACAGATTACTCTTCTCTGCCCTCCTCACGCTGCCTCTTCCTGTTTGCCTGACATCTCATTTCACCTTTGGAACCTCAGCTCGCTTGTCACTTACTGGCTCCCAAGTTTGTATCAGGGAGGCCTCTATCAATTCACAGAGCACTGTGTCCTTCCTCAATATGGCGGCCATCACACTGCGTTGTCCCTGCCTGGCGCTCACCATCACCACCCCCACCATCTGCAGCGACCTCCTTGAGGGCAGGCCAGAGGGCACGATTATGATTAGAAACACACAAGCAAGCCCTTATGGAGTGAATAAGTCATGGGGATGGAGGTACAGCCTGGGGAATATAGTCAATGGTATTGTCATCTTGTAGTATGGTGCACTTGCGGTGAGCACAGCATAATGTACAGAGCTGTGGAATCACCGTGTTGTGCACCCTAAACTAACGTAACACTGTGTCACCTGTACTTCGATTAAAAAATAACCAAGCAAGCATCAGTACCGACCTTGTTCAACATCGGGTGGCTCAGTGTTTTGGAAATCCAATATTTCTGGAATAAACGAATAAGAAGTTAGAGATAGAGAAATATTGCCTGGTAAAGATTAATAATAAAGAAAAATACCACTATATGTTAACCAACGGGAATTTAAAAGTGATAACAATAAAGAAAAATAAGTACAAGAAATTGTGTGCCTACTAGGTACCGGACAACATGAGATTTCATATTTAGATCCTATATATAGTTGAAACTCCATAACCGTACATTCAGGTTAATTCATTACCCCTATTTCATAGGTTACCAAATTGAGATCACAGAGGTTAAGTAACTTGCCAACATCACATAACAAGAAAGTATCAGCGTCAGATGTGTCTCCAATGTGCTTGCTTTTTGATTTATAAGATAGTGAGTAAATGAGAATAATTGAATCAACCCATTGGAGTAATCAAGCTGAGAGATTGTGGTGTTGTGTTACTGAACTGGCCACATCAGTCTACTTAATACCTTTTGACTCTGAAGCCCCAGCTTTTCCCACATTCAGCAAATCTTTATTGATCACTGCAGCTGTAGAGATCAAAGGCCAGGTCTCTGCCCTCAGAGAGCTCAGAGTCTAGTTGAAATAGTCGAGCAAACAGGCACTTGCAACACGGACCCTTCAGTGTATATCCCTCAGTTCCCGAGGTCCCTGAGGCTCCGCCCTTGGTTCACCTTCCTCCTCTCTGCCACAGTACAGACATGCCTACTTGCTCCGGCCCTCTCAGTTCAATGGGGAACCATGTAACTTCTCTGACAAGGAAGTTGAAGACTGTGTTACCAGCAGACCATGCAGAAGTCAAGTGCAATGTGAAGGCTTTGTGTGTGCACAGACAGGTATAAAGGGATGCAGGAGTGGGAGGGGATATCTAGCAAATGGGGTGATGGGGGCACTGGCCATTGCCTGCTGCTCAAGGTCAGGGTCATGGGTCAGGCCGGGAGCCCTCCTTGTCCTCTCTTCCCATGTATTATTTCACAAAAACAGCCCTATAAAATAGGCATCAATATTATCCCCATTTTACAAATTAACAAATTAAGACTTGGGGACGTTACTTGCCCAAGATCAGAGGGATCAGAACTTGGGATCAGAAACCTCGAGCCGAGTCTTATTTTGACTTTGTGACCTAGGAGAAGTCACTTAGCCTTTCTGCATGTCGGTTCTCTTAACAGAAAATCGGAAGTGAGGTTAATACCTTACAAGCATACTAGAAGCATCAGGTGACACAGTGGGAATGAAAGCTCTTTGCAGACTCTGAGCCCTGCTGGCTCTCTCAGAGGCCTGGGGCTGAGGACAGCATGGAAAGCCTACAGCCGTTCCATCGGGTGTTTAGACCACTTACCTCTGAAAAAATGTTTGCAGAAGTAGCTCTTGACGTTTGCATTTCTGCATAACCAAGTATAGCGGAACCCCTAATGCACGAGAGTCAGTAAAAAGTTTTGATTAAAGGAATGAAGGGAGGAGCGTACAATACTCATCTACTGCAGAACTAAGTAAACACTTGTCTTTTCAACTCACATCTAGTTCATTCAAGCAAGCACATGTCTCTCTATTTCGCCACTTCCCCAGCAAACGTAAGAGTATTTTGACCCAAGATGATCTAGATGGGAATTGCAACCTCTCTACGTTCCCTGTGCCCATATGGACCGGGTGTGCTTCAGGATTTTTCAAGAAAGGGTTAGAGATTTTCAGAGCGATTTCCAGGGCTTATTGCAAATGCAAGAATTCTGTCTAATAAATCTGAAAGACTTTTATAGTGTGTCCATGGACTCATTATGGCCAGTGTTCCATGATTCCGACCAGAGCCATAATGGTCATTCAGGCAGGCTTTAGTTTAAGTGCCGTGTAAGAAACATTTGAAGACCAAATTGAATTCTTCTGCTTTTGATATTGGTTAAAAATGATCAGTCATCTCTAAGGAAACAGGGTCACCTGTCTTACAGGCTTAACCCCTAAGAATATACAAACAAGAAAGAGAGTCAAGTCAGAGGGGAAAGCATTCAAAGGGAGCAAAAGTGCCAACAGCCCTGGAAGGGAAGGGGAGATGACTTCCCTGTTTTAGAGACAAGAAGATCGAGGCAGGTTAGGTAGCCCGTGGAAGGTCGCAAAGCTAGTGCTACTCACAGGACCCACCAAACCCACCTCTCCTCGCCAGCCTCAGGGAGAGAAGTCTAGATTTGCCTCCGGTCTGGCCACTTCGACCCAGGCCATGTAGACACTTTCCCTTTCCCCACCCTTAATAACCTCCCCTCAAAGTGGGTTCAGAAATACAACACTGGCCTCTTTGGGGGAATAAAGTGTTTACGCCAGATAAAGGCCCAGCCAAATATCTGGCACGTAGTAGGTGCTCATCCCCGTTGTTTCCCTCTCGGCAGCCACGTGCCTAAGGGTAACACCCTTTCTCCTTCCAGGGAGGTGTGTAAACCGCAGGCTTCTCTGCAACGGGGACAACGACTGTGGAGACCAGTCAGATGAAGCCAACTGTAGGAGGATTTATAAAAAATGTCAGCACGAAATGGACCAGTACTGGGCAATTGGCCGTCTGGCCAGTGGGTGAGTTACCGTCCTTCTGTTGTGTAGATGGGACGGCACAGAATTCAGTGAAATTCTGGAGGAGAGGAAGGGAGCTGATATTCACAGAGTGGCTCCTTTCTTCTTTTCTGAAAAAAGAGACGTAGTGTAAGTGGAGGCTTGTAGCTACTCTCTGAACACAGCTCCGGGGAGCTCCAGGGACATGTCCTGTGGCTAGACACGGGCCGTGCGGAGGGCTCAGGAACACTAGAGACGGAGCTGTGCTCGGAGACCACACGGGCCTCACACCAGGGCTGGGGGTGCATGTTTACTCAGCACCTGCCGTGTGACTGTGCTCCGTGCTTTCTCGGCATTACCTCTGAATCCTACTGACAACTTGTGGGGGAGGTTTAGCTGCTTGGCCCCAGCATAGGGCCTGGCCCAGAGGGTAGGCTCCTAAGTAGTTAGTGAAAAAGTGGGTTTCTGAGGGTGCCTGGGTGGCTCGGTCGGTTATGCGCCTGACGTCAGCCCAGGTCATGATCTCACGGTCCGTGAGTTCGAGCCCCGTGTCGGGCGGGCTCTGTGCTGACAGCTCAGAGCCTGGAGCCTGTTTCAGATTCTGTGTCTCCCCCTCTCTCTGCCCCTCCCCTGTTCATGCTCTGTCTCTCTCTGTCTCAAAAATAAATAAACGTTAAAAAAAATTTTAAAAAAAACACACACACACAAAAATCAAATCTCGCTCCCCAAAGGTTGTTATTAAGGAAAGAGACTTCTCACGCGAGGAAGACTTGCTCTCAGCACCACTTTATAAGCTGGTTATTATAGTCCCCGCCTCCTCAATAAGGAAACTGAGGTCTGCAAAAGTTAAGAGCGTTCCTAGGGGTCACAGGGCTAAGAGGGTGACCGAGTAGGCATTGCAAGCCAGCGGTAGGGCCAGACTGGACCCTGTAGGAGGGGACAGAATGACAGCTCGCTGGGGGCGCCTGGGTGGCGCAGTCGGTTAAGCGTCCGACTTCAGCCAGGTCACGATCTCGCGGTCCGTGAGTTCGAGCCCCGCGTCAGGCTCTGGGCTGATGGCTCGGAGACTGGAGCCTGTTTCTGATTCTGTGTCTCCCTCTCTCTCTGCCCCTCCCCCGTTCATGCTCTGTCTCTCTCTGTCCCAAAAATAAATAAACGTTGAAAAAAAAAATTTTTTTTTAAAAAATAAATAAATAAATAAATAATGACAGCTCGCTGGTCGTGGGACCTCCGGTGAAGCACGTATCTATGTGGGGCTTCAGTTTTGTCATCTGTAGCAGGCAGTGAATAATAACTTTCTCTCGAGTCCTGTGAGGATCAAATAAGCTAATATGATTATTGAGGACAAGCCAGTGGGCGGCAGCTTGTGTGGGGGGAAGGAACGCAGGCTGGCAGTGAGACCTTGGGCAGGTCAGTTACCCTCTGTGCCTTGCTTCCCTGCTCCATAAAGTGGACATCATCACCCTGATAGCTATCTCAAGGATTAACCTTTTGAAGGATTACATGAGCCAATACGTGTAAATCGATAAGAAGAGTCGCCTCCGCAAAGTGAGCACCACATTGCGTTGGTTAAAGAAAATGAACACTTAGGCGTTCTTATGATGCGTGGACCTCTGTCACAGGACAGAGAGCCTATGACAATTCTGTTAGGAACAGAACCGAGGCCAGTGCACAGAGGCTGAGAGAACACAGAGCTCCTTTCAACAAGAAAAGAGCTTTCAGTAGTCGTCAGAGCTGGTCAGGAACGGAAGCCTGCCTTAGGAGGCAGTGAGAAATAAGGCTGCACACTGATTTTCATCCCTTCTAAATACACACAGTGATATCTACTGCCCAGGGATTGGGGGGCGGGGGGATGCTATAGAAGGTGATCCGTATGTGGAATCACACCCTGCTCTGTTTCTAGACATAGTCTAGACATAGTCTGTCTCAGCAAATGACAATTATTTGGTGTCTCGTGATGGAGATCATACGGAAATTAAGAATAAATTTTCCTTGTCCCCATTTTACAGATGCAGAGACCAAGGTACAGAGAGGCCAGCTGGCTTGCCTGAGATCGCATTACTAGTAAATGGCAGAGCAGGGATTTGATCCCAGGCATCTGACTCCAGAGTCTATTTTCTTATCTATTTTGCTAAACCATTCTCATAAGGTAACTGTGAAAATAGAGAACAGTAGCTACTTGACGGGCAAGCAAGGGGTCTTCGGAGGGCCTCTAGCTTAGCATGGCAAATGCTAGTGAAGGCTTCCCACAAAGAAGATAAGGAAAAAAGAGATACAACAGTGAGTGGCTGGAATGGCATTCTGGGCACAGGGAACAGCACTGACACAACAGGGAAGCAGCAGAGTGGATTGGAAGAGGAACAAGCATCTCCCAGTGGCTGGGACTAGGTATATGATGGTGGTCCGGAAGGGCCCCACAGGAAGCTGAAAAGCTGGTTTGGACCAGATACTCAGGTTCTTGGACACTGTACCCAGGAGCTTCGGTTCCACTCCTTAGGGTCTGCCAGCTGGGCTTACGTAAACTGATCACCCTAACCTCTTCCCCCGTCCATGCCTTCCCTGCAGGATCAATCTGTTCACAAACAGCTTCGAGGGCCCCGTCCTCGATCACGGGTATTACGCCGGTGGATGCTCCCCCCATTACATACTGAACACGAGATTTAGGAAGCCATACAATGTGGAAAGCTACACCCCACAGGTATGTGGCAGGCAGGAAGCCACTGCAGGGCAACAGGGGGAACGCACACTAAGGAGCCAGCCAGCGCAGAGTCGAGGCCCAGCCCTGTGAGCCGCTGAAGCAGCTTGGATGTATTGCTGTTTCTCTTCGAGCTTCAGTTCTTTTTTTTTTTTTCATTTTTTTAATGTTTATTTATTTTTAAGAGAGAGAGAGAGAGAGAGAGAGACAGAGCATGAGCAGGCAGGGGAGGGGCAGAGAGAGAGGGAGACACAGAATCCGAAGCAGGCTCCAGGCTCTGAGCTGTCAGCCCAGAGCCCGATATGGGGCTTGAACCCATGAACCATGAGATCATGACCTGAGCCAGAGTCAGATGCTTACCCGGCTGAGCCACCCAGACACCCCACATTTTTTATTATTTTTAATCTAAATTTTAGTTCGTTAATATACACTGCAATATTGTAGAATTCATTGATTCATCACTTACATGTGACACCCAGTGCTCATCCCAACAAATGCACTCCTTAATACCCATCACCCATCTAGCCCATCCCCCCCACCCACCTCCCTCTGTCAACCCACAGTTTGTTCTCTGTCATTAATTATGCAGTTCCAAGGGCTAGGTTACGACCTTCTCCTCCTCCTCTCCTCCTCCTCTTCTTCTCTCCACACATACGTATTGGCTAAAAAAGAAAAAATAAAAATAAATGAGCCGGGGACAAACACAACCTCCCCCGCGGTGCCCACTGGCACCCCTGGGGCCTCTACCTTCAAGGGAGGATCTCAGAGCAGCTGAGTTACCATCCCAGTTAAAATAGCCCCTGACCTGGCAGGACATACATCGTAAGTCTCTCTGCATAGCCAGTGCTTTTGGAGTGCTGTGTCAGGTCCTGTGTGGTGTTGTATCCATACAGACTCAATCCTCAGAACAAGTCCAATGGGAGGGACAAACATCGTCTCCATTTGACACATGAAGAAACTGAGGCAGGGGGGCCCGGGCGGCTCAGTCCATTAAGCGTCGACCCTTGATCTCAGCTCAGGTCATAATTTCACAGTTCGTGGGTTCAAGCCCTGCATCGGGTGCGGGGCTGACGGCACAGAGCCTGCTTGGGATTCTGTTTGTCTCCCTCTTTCCCTGCCCCTCCCCTGCTCGCTCGCTTTCTCTCTCTCTCTCTCTCTCTCTCTCTCAAAATAAATAAAATGAACTTAAAAAAAAAAAAAAAAAAGAGGGGCACCTGGGTGGCTCGGTCGGTTAAGCGTCCGACTTCGACTCAGGTCACGATCTCGCGGTCTGTGAGTTCGAGCCCCACATCGGGCTCTGGGCTGATGGCTCGGAGCCTGGAGCCTGCTTCCGATTCTGTGTCTCCCTCTCTCTCTGCCCCTCCCCCGTTCATGCTCTGTCTCTCTCTGTCTCAAAAATAAATAAACGTTAAAAAAAATTTTTTTTTTAAATAAAAAAAAAGACATTGAGCATACAGAGGTTCAGCCTGTTGTCGAAGGTTGCTCAACTAGAAAATGGCAGGGACGGGTTCTGCCTCAGGCAACCTTACCCCAGGCCACAGTTGGACTCACCTCAGCTCCCTTCCTCGGCAGCTTAGTGTTATGGGATCTGCAGGCAACCAGAAGCCAATATGTGGGGGCAGAGACCATTGGGACTGGTCCCTCCAAGGACATCGAGGCAGTACCTTGGGCGCAGAACAACGAGAACGGATTTGTGAGCAAACAGTTCTTCTAAGTTCTCCGGGAGGCACTTCCCTGCCCCTGTCACTTTGTCCCCACTGCACCGCCTCTGACCACACCTCATCAGCTGTCAGCTGCTCTCCCCTTACAACCTTCTCACCAGCCTGTCTCTCTGACTCCAGATTCAGCCCTTCTAGTCCGACCACCCTGCTGTCCCAAAATGATCTTCTGGAGGCTCAGCTACATCCATGTTGGCTCATCTTGGATTGAGTCCAAATTTCCGACCAAGTAATACAGAAACCTCAGTGTTTTCATGACAGCACATTCCCTCACGACCCCTGTCCCTTCCCCTCACTGTTGCGTCTTCGTGGTCAGCTACCCTAGAATCCCTTTACTTCGTAGAGTACATCCTGTTCTTTTCCACCCATGTGCCTTTGCCTAAGCCGAGTCCCCAGTCCAGAATGCCCTCCTGCACTCCTGCCAGTTGAAACCCAAATCACGCACTCACCTCTGAATATCACCCACAGTCTGACTCTCCTAGTGGATTAGGAGCCCTGGGGCTGGGCACACAGTTGGCTCTGAGGTTCCTGTATCCAGAGGCTCTAGTTGAGAGCCCGGCACATGTTAAGAGTTCAGTGGGTACCTGTTGACTTGTACGGAACGGAGGTGAGTCAAAGCAAGTAAGAAACCTTTTCTTTTTTCTTCCCTCAGACCCAAGGCAAATACGAATTTGTGCTGACAGAATATGAGTCGTACTCAGATTTTGAACGTAGCATCACGGAGAGAGGAAAAAGCATGTCTAGTTCCGGCTTTGGTTTAAAAATACCTGGAATATTTGAAATTGGCATTAGCAGCGCGAGTGCTAACGGCAAACATTTTATTCGCAGGATCAAACGATTCTCTCACACCGTAAGTACCCTTTGCTGGCCTTCAGTTCCCATGCATACATTTCGATTTTCATGCCCAGCTGTGTCTGTATTCCCCACTACTGCTAGGCCTAGCAACCAGCCTGTATTTCCGTGGTCCTGAAAATCTGTTCACCAGAAAACAGGGTGGTCTTCCTTGAACTGACTTCTTAGAAAGGCCGGGCAGTGTGGCATATCATTATTTTCTTCTTTTATGTTTACATTCTCTCATTTTCCAATGAGCTTCATCTTGTGGTTTTCCTTAAACTTGAGCAGGTAGCTTTCCCAGACCATATCCACTCTGGAGACGTTTCAGCCTCTAGCGATCTAACTTCTGTCCTAAACATTCAGCTGAAGTTCCCCCTCCAGGATGTCACCCAAGACCCTTCTTGTCGGATGGCTTGGGGCCTCCGCTGGAGTCGGCCACACCATCATGCACCTGTTCCTCCCACTTGCTTTCTGCTCCTCATCACTTTCCTTTCTGGGGTCTAATCTCCCCACCTGTTCTTTATTTAATTCGTGGCCATCTTCTCTTCTTACCCTTCAGCTACCCCAGTTGACCTCTGTTCATTCTCCCTCCCCACCCCACCCCCCACTGCCCCCACCCCACCCCGCCACCAGGGCAAGCCACACACCTTCATTATTGCTTCTGACCTTTCTGTTACACTTTGTCCTGTACAGCACACTCTTATGGGCATCATTACCTGGATGCCTCGCTGACACTCCAAGCAGGCTCTTCCTCCTACATTTTCTGTGCTAAATAGCATTTGTTTCCTTCTGGTTTTCCAACCTAAGCATTTCAGAATCCTGTTTCGCTCTGTTCTCATCTCCACATTTTTTGGCCACCAGATCCTTCAGTGTCACATTCCAATATTTCTTAATCTAACTCTGATTACATCTTAAGTAGCCCGGACCCTTGCACCTCCTGCGTGGCCCCCGCCTTAGGGGTCTCCTGTCTCCCAACTTGCCCCTGAGATTTATGTGCTGCCAGAAAGATGTTTCCATGATACTAATCTAATCATGTCGCCTGTTCCCCCTGGCCCGTAAGATGAAGGTCAAAGCCCGTGAGTTGGTAGAAGAGGAGTAATTGGACTGGGAAGTATTGGGATATGATGTTGGAGAAGCAGGTGACAGGCAGCCTTGAGGAACCTTGAGTTCCCGAGCAAGGAAGGTGCATTTTATTCTCTAGCCACTAAGCGTTTTCAGCTTGGGTGAAATGTGTTAGAAAATTAATCTGAGTGGAACCTGGCGACCAGGTCGCCTCTAATGATTCATAGGAGGAGAAAGTGGTGAGGGGCTCAGAAAGGGCTCTGCTGCTGAAATACCAACCAGGAGAAAATGAGTAGTAAATGCGAATGGGTCTGTTACTGTCTTTGTTTTTCCTTCTAGGCTCTGAGCAACTTGGAGGCAGAGGCTGTTTCTTCCATCTTTAGACTTAGAATGGCACCTAGTAGGTGGTTAAGACTGAAATACAGTGATGGAGGGTGGTATTAATGAAAAGGATCATACTTTGTTGGGGAGAAACAAAGCCTGCTCCCGCTTAGCCCCTCCCTCCCTGCCTCCCTGACTCAAATATCCAGTGATAGCGTGCTTACAGTGTTCTGGGCACTATAGTAGGCTTGGGGTCCAGAGACAAATACAACCTGATTCTTGCCTTCGAGCTCACAAGTCTAGGGGGGGAGAGGCAAACGTGTATGCAGTCAACTAATTCTTAATTTTTTTTATAACAGTTGTAATGCAGCCTGGTTCGTGCTATAAAGGAAACATAAGCAAAGTGCAATGCAGTCCTGGAAAATGGTGTGTGTGTCTGGGAAATACAGGATGGTGTCCCATAGGCAGCAACAGCTAAGAAGTATTGAAAATATTTGTAGACGCATGTCGAGACGAAAAGGGAGAGAAGAGCCTTTAAGGCAAAAGGAACAGCATGTGCAAAATTGTATCATGAAAAGAATAGATTTGGCAAACAGTGAGAAGTTGGATTAGGGCTGAAGTGTGGTGTGGGGGGCAGAAAGTAGTAAGGTATGGGGAGGAACGCTTCACGACCAGGGGACAGGGTGTGAGTTCTTATATTCACCGTAAGGGAATAGATTTTATTCAGGAGACAATAGAGAGCCAATGCACGGTTTTGTTTTAAGCGCAGAGGGGCATTATGATAGAGGCATCCCTCAGAGCTATCGCAGGTTTAGCTCAAGAACACTACGATAAAGTGAATTCACAATAAAGTGAGTCCTATGAATTTTTTGGTTTCCCTGTGCATACAAAAGTTATGTTTACGCTATAGTCTATTAAGCGTGCAGTAGCATTATGTCTAAAATAACAATGTACATACCTTAATTAAAAATACTTTGTTAACGGGGCGCCTGGGTGGCGCAGTCGGTTAAGCGTCCGACTTCAGCCAGGTCACGATCTCGCGGCCCGTGAGTTCGAGCCCCGCGTCGGGCTCTGGGCTGATGGCTCAGAGCCTGGAGCCTGTTTCCGATTCTGTGTCTCCCTCTCTCTCTGCCCCTCCCCCGTTCATGCTCTGTCTCTCTCTGTCCCAAAAATAAATAAACGTTGAAAAAAAAAATAAAAAAAAAAAAATACTTTGTTACTAAAAATGCTGACCATCATGTGAGATTTCGGCAGGGTATCATCACTGATCACCATAACAAATATAATAGCAATGCAAAAGTTGAAGTATGCAAGAATTACCAGAATAGGGCGCAGGCACACAAAGTGAGCCAATGCTATTGGGAAACAGTGCCAGTCGACTTGCTCAACGTAGGGTTGCCACAAACCTTCGATTTCTAAAAATCGCGGTGTCCATGAAGTGCCATAAAACAAGGCATGTCTGTAATACCATCAGGGTTTTAAGACGTCAGCTCTGATTGGAACATTGACGGCAGGCCAGAGAACGGAGGGAGATGAGCGGGAAGGTTTTATCCAAACCCGAGCAGGAAAAGAAACCCACAGTATTTAGACAAATCGTGAACAGAGCACTGCTTAGCTTGGAAGGGTAAGGATCTGGGGCAGAACTAGAATGAGGTGAGAGTAAGGATAGGAAACTCTCACCTCAGATTATTCTTGCACATCAGGATGTTTGCACATCACCTCCCATCACCATCTCTCAGCCTATCCCCCACACCAGGGGTCACCAAACTTTTTCTGTAAATGGCAAGATAGTAAGTATTTTAGGCCTTGTAGGACCATAGGGTCTCTGTCACAGCTACTCAGCTTTGCCGTGGTAGGGTGACAGCAGCTATGGACAGCGCACGAGCGACAGGGCGTGGCTGCCTCCTAAAAAAAGCTCTATTTATAACACCAGGCACCTGATGTGGCGTGCAGGCTTGTAGCTGGCTGACTCTTGCCATGCGCTGTAATGCCTAGCCTTCCTAAGGCATCACTTTCACTCTTTCTTGAGCGGCCTTTCTTTGGAATTTAAAAAGCCCAAACAAAGAGGCTGCCTTTGCAGGCAGGCAGACCCTGTATCCCACCAGAGTGGCCCCAAAGTGCTCCTGCTGCTCCCTGCCATCTCTGCTTCTGGCCACCTACCTTTCTCGTTCCTTCTTTGCCGCCGTAAGGAGGTGAGTTAAGAGCAAACTCTCCCAAGCTGAAAGGACGTCGGAATATTTATGAGAAATGAAAGCTTGTCAAAGAGACCGTCTTCCCCCAAGTATCCTAAAGGAATCATAAGAGTGACGACCCCAGGCCAGGAACATCGGATGGTATTTGTAAAGTTCATCCTCTTGTTCCAGATTCCTAACTTTAAAGGTCTGCTTTTCCCATGTTGGTATTTCATTTAGAAAAGCACATTTCTGCACGCGCGCTCTGACCTTGAAGTAGCACGTTACAAGCTGAAGCCCAGAAGCCTCATGCTCCATTACGAACTCCTTCAGAGAGTCAAGCTGCTGCCCCTGGAGTACAGTTACGGGGAGTACAGAGATCTCTTCCGTGATTTCGGGACCCACTACATCACAGAGGCCGTGCTGGGGGGCATTTACGAATACACACTCATTATGAACAAAGAGGCCATGGAGAGAGCAGGTACGCTGCCCAGGGGACTATGGCTCTCCTGCCGGGGCACACACGAGCTCTGTGAGGTGGTGGGAGGAGAGTTACAGGCTTTGCTCCTAGTTCCCTTCTCCCTCCCTGGCTGTAGTGTCATTTGCAGATGTCTCCTTTTTATAACCTGTTAGTGGGTCCTCCTCCGCCCAGCCCTCTGTCTGGACAGTCCTCTTTTCTACAACTATTTCCTCTAGACAACAGCATCCATGTCTCATGGCATTAAATGTCTTCGATATGTGGAGAACTCCCAGTGTATGTTTCCCCCTGGATCTCTTCCCAGCACCCAAGAGCTCTCATCAGAATGTCCCCTTGACATCACCGTTTGGATGCCCAACAAACATCACGACCTTACCGTGTCCCGAAAGTCAGCTTTTGCTTTCCTTTGCCAAATTTGTGTCCTCCACAGTCATCCACATCTCAGAATGGTTTCACCATCCAACCAGTGGCTCAAGCCAAGAACCTAGGAGTCAACCTTGACTGTATTTTTTTCCTTCTCATTGATTAGCAAGTCCCCTCAGTAACTTTGAGGCAAAACCCAAGATTCTGCACAAGCTTTGACATGACGTCATTGCTGCTGATCTGTAAACCCCATTTTATTTTTTTTTATTTATTTTTTTTTAAATGGTATTTATTTTTTAATTTTTTTTTTTCAACGTTTATTTATTTTTGGGACAGAGAGAGACAGAGCATGAACGGGGGAGGGGCAGAGAGAGAGGGAGACACAGAATCGGAAACAGGCTCCAGGCTCCGAGCCATCAGCCCAGAGCCCGACGCGGGGCTCGAACTCCCGGACCGCGAGATCGTGACCTGGCTGAAGTCGGACGCTTAACCGACTGCGCCACCCAGGCGCCCCCGTAAACCCCATTTTAAGTAGCAGGATCGCAGATTGTTACCACAGCCGCCTAACCAACATCCAACTCCTGATGCCCCTTGGCAATCTCTTCTCCCTGTGGATGTAATTACAGGACTTACCACTTGTAACCATCTGCAGGCCTAAGGTGTGATTCCTGCTTCCCAGTCCAGGGGGTTCTGGCACTTGCCACGTTAGGTGACCTGCCCTGGGTCACACCGTTCACAGTGGAGGACCCAGGGCTTGGTTAGAAGGCCATTGCACTTGCAAGAGGACACATGGTCTGTCATGTATGTAAATTTATGCCGGCGTGGCTTCATTCTCACCAAGGCCAAGGATACCTTCCTCCATACCACTGGTTTCCAGAGCACTTTTCTTATTTCCTCAAACTGCTTCCTGCAAAAGGATTCTGTTATCAAGCAAACTGGGGAAACATATAATGGATCCCACTTGTAGCATCCCACGAGGCTACTGCCATAAAATGACCTGTCCACCTCCTCTGATACAACGCTGGTCACACTTACTTGACCACGGAAGCACATTTTCTTATAATACTTACTATTGCAGAAATTACAAGAGATGTTATCATGAAATTCATATTTCCAGGAACATGCTGGGAGGGAAAACGGATATACGCTTAACACCACCGGAGAACTCCGTAGTCAGGACTGGTCTCCTCTCCTTGCCTGGCCTCAATGTACCGCGGAAGGTGCTGACCAAGTCACATCCAAGTTTGAGCAAGCCCAGGAGGAGAGCTTGCCTTGGGGAGAATTAGGGAGAAACAAGTGGGGAATGAGGCAAAAACGAAGAAGAAATAAGAGAAATCGGCCCCTTCTCTTTGCCAGGTCCTAGACCAGACACTTTAAATATATCACCTCAATTAATTAATGAACTTGCCCTCTCTACTCCAGCAAAGATTAAAGAAGAGTGGGTCAGGGCAAGGAGGACACACTACAGCAAACTGTACTTACTGGATCGACCCCTAGAGGCTCAGAAAACAACTCTGAGCACTTCCACTCTCAGAGGGAGGGCAGCAAAGACCCTCAGAGCCTTTGAGGACCCTGAAAGGGGAAGGTTCTGTCGCCCTCTCATGAGGCCTCCACCCTGATGTCATGGCTGCCTGCGTTGTTGGTCATCAGGCTGGCCACCCGTTGATTTGAACCTGAGTCACGCGACATGACATCCAGGAAGGGCAAGGCTTCTGGAATCGATGACAGGAAAAGGTGACAGGGTGGATGACCTTTAGGTCATGGGCCTCTTTTCTTGCTTCCTTCAGATTACTCCCTTAAGGACGTCCAAGCCTGTGCCAAGAATGATTTCAAAATCGGTGCTGCCATCGAGGAGGTCTACGTCAGTCTGGGTGTGTCCGTGGGCACATGCCAGGGTATTCTGAGGGAAATAAAAGGTAAGCGGCAGGGGCATGTGAAATCTGTGCTCATTATCTTTCCCTTCTTAGCATCCCCCCCAAACCGAATCTTTCTTCAAGCTAAAGACTGGATATCCTAAGGAATTTCAATTAAAATCATAATTCACTCAATAAAAACTTACCTAGCTCCTACTATGTGCTGGGCATACAAAAGTGAATGAACTTGTGTTCCCACCCTCGTGGCGCTCACATGAGGTGGGCAAACAATCAAAGAAGCAATGGCACCAAAGCCAGTTTGGAGAATCAGGACCGGCTTCCTAAAGGAGGGCACGTTGGAATTGTCACTCAGGGAGTAAAGCGGCAAGGTTGTTTTTAAGGCAGGAAAAAAATGACAATGGAAATTTACTCTGGGGGCGAGGAGCAGGCCTGGCTGGAGGCCGGTGGAGAAGGCGGGGGAGGCAGGGGAAGAGGCTGGTCCTTCCGAGACAATGGGTGGGGTAGAGTCTGGAGAAGCAGGCAAAGCCATAAATCATGTAGCGGAGTCCGCACGGCAGGGGAGACCAGACTGGAGGGGGCAGGTATCAAAGCCAAGTGTCCGGGAGCAGGGAACCTGGAGGTCATTCCAGGGAGCTGGGAATCAACACAGCAAGTAGAGTAGGAAAGAGAGACCAATCAGCAGGGCCCCAGGCCCCGGCCTCTGCTGCACCTCAAAGAGCAGTCCCCACCGACTCCACTTTACTGAGCTTGCACCGGGGATCGTACGTGGAGAAAGAGTTCCAACACCTGAAGGAAAACAAAATAAAACAACGACAAAAATGAACTGCTGGCCTAGAACTCTTGACCTTGCACTCTTGACTGATGTGTGATTGATATTGTTTATTTGCTCATTTTGGTGGGGCTGGGTTGGAAGATAGGTCCCATAAGGGAGACATGCACAGAACACAGGTGCTCTTTAATTTTTTTTTTTTAAGTTTATTATTGAGAGACAGAGACAGAGCATGAGCAGGGGAGAGGCAGAGAGAGGGGCAGACATAGAATCTGAAGCAGGCTCCAGGTTTCGAGCTGTCAGCACAGAGCCTGACGCGGGGCTCGAACTCACCAACCATGATATCATGACCTGAGCTGAAGTCGGACACTTAACCGACTGAACCACCCCGGTGCCCCTAGGTACTCTTTAAAGAAGACTCATAGGGAGCACCTTGGTGGCTCAGTTGGTTAACGTCCGACTCTTGATTTGGACTCAGGTCATGATCTCATGGTTTGTGGGATCGAGCCCCACATTGGGCTCTGCATTGACAGCACAGAACCTGCATGGGACTCTCTCTCTCCCTCTCTCTCTGCTCCTCTCCCATGTGCACATTCTCTCACTCTCACTCTCTCTCTCTCTCTCTCTCTCTCTCACAAAAATAAATAAACTTAAAAAATAAAAAGGAGATTTGTAAAGTGATCCCTTGCACAGGTCACTAGATGGAATATTGGGCAGGACCCTCATCACTTGCCAACTCCTCCCTCCCTTTTGGAGATAACACCATCCTTGCTTCTGTGTTAAACACATCCTTCCTTTCTTAATAGTTTTACCACCAGGTGGATCACTAACCAATACGGCTCAGCGTTGCTTGTTTTTGAACTTTATATGGGTGGAATATACTCTTTTCAGTTCTGGGTGGTGGTGGTGTTTTCGTTCACTATCATGTGTGTATAACTACAGCTACTTGCCATTGCTGCCTAGTATTTTCATGTATGAATATAATACTTTGTCCGTTCCACTGTGGAATTTGAGTTATTTCCCGTTTCACGCAAGTGCAGTCGCTGCTGCTAGAGCATTCTTCTGTGCTTGTCTGGCACACGCATGCAACTATTTTGCAAGGAATGCACCCGGGAGTAGAATTGTTGGGTTGTAGACCATGTACTTTTTCTGGACTAGTGAATGCAAAGCTGTTTTCTAAAACGGTTGTACCGCTGTCCCCCTACCAGCAGTATACAAGAGTCCTTTCTATGGTGCACAGGGTTGCGGGCTCAAAGCTAAGTGGTCACTTGACACAGTTCTTTTGGCATGGGGTGAATGGACAAATTAGAATGGGAAGGACTCACTGATATGATTGAGGGCCTTCTGGGAAACTCTACATAGATCAAAACAATAATCATATTATAGTAGACGCTCTTTAGTGGGTATCTATCACACACAAAGCCCAGCTTTTACACATTTTCCCGCCTCTGTTATCCCATACAAAGAAGAGACATAGCTTAGAGCTTCAGCAAGGCTACCTGGATCAACCTTTTCACCCCTAGTGCCTGAGATTTCTTATCTGCAAAATGAGGATTATATAGTTCCTATTTCATTGTGAAGATTAAGTGAGTTAATACAACACTTAGATTACTGGCTGACACATTAATGATCCATAACCTATCTCCCTATCAACCTATTTACGTATCTATGACCTATCAATCTCTCCGTATATATGAATATCCATCAGGTATCTATCTTCCATAGACTCAGTGACTGGCGTTTATAGATGTCCCCTCCTTATCCTGCCCCCAACTTGTGTCCTATTTGATTGGGTGAGTTGCCTTTTGCCCTTTGCGTCGTGACTTCCTTGCTGGTGGGATTGCATCTTGTCTACTGGCACCTCCAGGATGAGCTTAGTGAGTATCATGGTGACTAGGTTGGGTTGCAGCAAATTCCAGGGTGCCGAAGTGGATCCCCTGACATGCCAGGTCTCTGTGTCGATTCCAGACAGAAACAAGAGAGACACCATGGTGGATGACTTGGTGGTCCTTGTGCGAGGAGGGGCAAGTGAGCACATCACCGCCCTGGCGTATAAGGAGCTGCCGACCGCGGACCTGATGCAGGAGTGGGGAGACGCCGTGCAGTACAACCCAGACATCATCAAAATTAAGGTATATCTGGGGAGCTGCTCTCTCCACCCTTTCCTCTATTCAGTAAACAGCTTATGAGGGGCTACTAGGAGCCAGGCTGGGGGATACAGAGCTCAAGAAGACCCACACCCTAATCTCAAGGCACACACATTATAGTAGATCATGTATCTGGAGTGGACCGATTACAAAATAACTGTTGGGCACCAGCTGCAGACCCCTGACTCCCTCCCACTCAGGCCCCCAAGTTGCTAAAGGAAATCAACCATCAGCTTCTAGTTCCAGCCTTCTTAAATTGATACTGTTTCCATTTGGTCAGAGACTCTCTCCAGGCATTATTTGCGTATTTTAACATTCATTCAACCAACAAATAGTTGCTAACTTCCTGCAGCGTGAGAGGAACTAAGCCGCTGGAGGAGAGGCAGAAAGATGCAAGTGTGAAACATACACTCTGTGCTAACCGGTAAGACCCGGGCAGCCATGACCGTCGTACAGGACAGGGTAATACTTCATGGTGATCAGTGACGTTTTGAGCACCGACTATATTCTTGACACTCTGCCAGGGTCTTTGGGCATGTTATTGCATCTAATCCTCAAACTGCGTGTGCTTACCTCCGTTTTGTGGCTGATGAAAATCGAGGTCACAGAGGGAGCATCCATCTGTGGCTGCGCAAGAGTCTCTGTTAGGTCTGGGCCCGAGACTTTGACCTCTTCCCTCCCCTCCAGACTTTCCTGTGGGTTTGGTGAATAAAAACTAATGATCCCAACCAACCGTCACCCACACAAGAGCAGTTTTGCAACCTTAAACTAAGAGGACGTTTGCCAGAACAGGACTGTCATACACATCAGCGGTAGTAGGTCCTTGCCTGTGGGGACCTCTGCACGGGGTCCGTGCTCCATCTCGGGCCATCCTCTCCTTGCTGTTGTCTGTACACTCACTGGTTGTTTGGCATCCACTCCACCCCACCCCCGGGACTTCGTCTTGCCGCCAAGGAGGGGTGACGAGGGACCGGAGCTCTTCACGTGATGCTCTGCAGCTCCCAATCCTGGCAGTTGCCCAGTGTCTTAATTTGTATGTCAAATGCATAGTTGCTGCAGAACAGAAGGCTGCCATTCAAATCCTGTCCTCTGCCGTTTTCAGTAGTGACACTTAGGGTACAGCTGCTGACACGCATCAAGGAGAATAAAGTCAGCTGTAGGTTGTACGCAGCTCCAGAGAACTCTGGGGTTGGCTGATGGTGTGGTGACATTGCTCGGAATCACGGATGCGCATGGGAGTGAACAGAGCTCAGGGGAAAATAGATCCCTGGTCTTTACTTGTCACTTACACCTTACCTGATTTTTTTTTTTTCCCCCAAAACCGAGAATTAATGGAGTTTTCCCTGGTCACCTACCTGAATGGGTTGGATGTGCCAGACCGGCCATTGGGAATGTCAAGTGTCAGGCATGTGATGTGATCTGGTGTGTGTGTGTGTGTGTGTGTGTGTGTGTGTGTGTGTGTGTGTGAAAAAGACAGAGAGAGGAAGGAGACAGGGAGGGCAGGCCAGCATGCTAAGCATCTCAGGCCTGAACACGGTCTTAGGCATGCAGCACTTTACCAAAGGCACAGAGGCCCAGCATGTGTGTGATGTAGTAGAAAGTATCACACTGTCAGGTGTGTGGGCTGAAAGGCAGAAAAGGTGAAGGAAGCAGAGATGTTTTCGGGAGCTGGGGAGGTGAGGTTACTGAAGACTTTTAAGCCCTTCCTTTTGTAAGTCCCTGCCGTGAGTTGGAAACGTATGTTCTGGACATCCCACTCTTCCATGCACTCTTTCCAGCAAGAGAAAACTGCAGATGCCTCCACGTTATCTCACAATAATTCTTCTCTGCAGAGTCAGCCCGCCAGGTAGTTAGAGCGGCGATTGTTTTCCAGGACGGCAGAAGCCACTAGACAGGCGATTCCTAGACAGAGTGTTGGCCAGGGGTCGCATGCATAAAGCATTCTTGAGGATCAAGACCTGAAACACGATTGGCATAGGAGCCAGGTGGGCGGGGAAGAAGAACACCGAAGAGCCCCCTCACACTGTTCACTGATAGACTTTCGACCCAGAGAAACGGCTCTTTGCCCAGAGTTAACAAATGGCCGTGGACACGGAAAGAGAACTCCAAACGCAAAAGATGGAAATTACCTTCAAGATTCAGAAGACAAGCCTACATCTAAAAGTGGAAAAATAGAAGTAAATTTTGGAATGCATTTGCCTTTTTATCGTAAGCTTTAAGCAAATGAGGAATTCAGGAAAGAAAAAAGAGATGCTGAGATATTAGACACTCATCAGATGAAAAAGGAAGTGGCTGACTACACGGAACCAAAGGCGCAATAGCAGAGGAAAGCCTACATTGGAAACTGTAAAGAACAGAATTGACACTGCAGAAAATTGAGTCAGTGATGTGGGAAGGCACCATAAAAACGTTCTCATAATGTAGCAGCGAAAGACAAAGAGATTAAAACAATGACGTAAAAGAAATATGATGGAAGAGAGTACAGAAGGAGAAATCTGAAACTCAAGGACTTCTTCCTGAGAAAGAGACAAGATTAAATTTGAAGATGGCATTCATCACGGACATAATAAGGGAAATGTCCCTGAGCTGATGACACAAAATGCAGAACTCATTGAAAAGTGGGCAAAAGTACTGAGAGCAAAACAATACAGAAACACATCCTATGATGTGATTTTTTTTTTTTAACTTTTAGAAACAACCCTATTCTAAAAAAAAAAATAAATAAAGGTGGTTCTGGTCTTAGAATTCTTTGCAACATGAAGTGCCTGAAGGCAGTGTAGTGACAATGTCATGAAGGAGAAGCTTGGGGCCCAGAGAAACGGTCGTTAATGGATAAAAAAATCCCAAAGACACTTTGCATTATTAAAGGAGTCACATAAAAATTGCCAGGTTTGGCAAATGGAAAATATAGCATGTCTAGTTAAATTTGGATTTCAGACGAATAATGGATAATTTCCTAATATAAGCATACCCCAAATATTGCATGGGACATACTGGTATGACCAAATTATTTGTTGTTTATCTGAAATTCAGCTGTAACTGGGGAGATTCTGTGTTGGACTGGCAAACCCAGTCACAAACTCAACCACTCGTGAGCATTTCTATAAGTAGCCAGGGTGGCTGGGTTGTCGTCTGAGGTCCAAGCTGATGGAGAAGCTACTATATAGAGCTCAGGCATTGCCCAGAGTAGAAGGAAAAGATATAGTTGTGAATGGTGTTCCCACAGAGGTCAGGAAGGCATTGGTTATGCTGCAGTGAAAAAACTTCCCAAATCTTAGGGACTGAGTACAACACAAGTTTATTTCTCAATCACACAACATGCCCAAAGTATATTGGGGAGGGGGCTTTTTGCATTGCCACTCAGGGATCCGGGTCACAGAGGCTTGATGTGGTCATATGCTCCGAAGATCACCGCTGCATTGGTAAGGGAAGGGGATATGTCCCTTCACTCTGTCCTGAAGGCTTCACCCTGGAAAGGACGCCCCCTCTGCTCTCTTTCCACTGTTCAAAACAAGTCATGGTGCAAACCTGCCCTTTAGAATGTCAGGGAATTGCAACCCTTCTATGTATCCAGAAAGAAAAGCAGCTGATCACTTGGTAAGCAGTGATAATCACACCTTTCTGAAGGTGTGACCACTGTACCTTTCTAAATCGCTGTACTCAAAGATTCTCTAGCAGCAAATTACTCTGACCAAGAGAAGGGTTAAAATACAGATGTTGTGGTAACATTGCCTGGTAAGATAATGTCAGACTCAAGCCATTGGAGCTCACCCCCCAAAATAAATTCTGGATGTCAAATAAGGAAACCATGAATGTAATTAAATGACAGGTAACACCCCCACAAGATAATTTTGCCACAAACAAAATCCTAAATGTATAAAGAATGATACAATTTCTAAGAAAGACACATTTCAAAGGAAATAGACAACTCTTAGCACTAAGATGATGAATAAATATGCAAAATGTTTAACTTTCCTAGGAATAAGAAATGAAAAAGTAACAACATGATATTTTTTTACCTATCAAATTGACAATGATTAAAAATCTATAATATTCAACAGGGCGCCTGGGTGGCTCAGTCGGTTGAGCATCCAACTCAGGTCATGATCCCCGGGTCATGTGATCAAGCCATGTGTAGGGCTCTGTGCTGAGAGTGGAGTCTGTTTGAGGTTCTCTCCCTCTCTCTCTCTCTCTCTTTCTCTCTCTCTCTCTCAAAAAAAAATTGTAATACTCAATATCACTGAGAGAAATGAGATGGGCACTTTCATAAAATGAGATAAGAATATAAGTTGAAACAACACTTTATATAACCATCTATACCTATGAAAAAATTTGTATCAAAGAATATTGAACAGCATGGGGAAATGCCTATAATATGCTATTAAGTGAGGCAAATGGAAAATAAAGCTGCACTTTTCTCATGCCACTGCTTTGGTGTAAATACCTGTCCACTTAACTATCCAAAAATATTCACTGAAAGGACACAAACCACAATGCTAACCGTTCGAATCCTTTTCGGCCACTTACTGACTGTGTGACTCTGGTCCATCTTTTTAACTTCTCTGTGCCACAGCTTTTTCATCTATCTGTAAAATGGGGATACAGAAGACTGTCTGCCTCAATAGGATTGTTGTAAAGATTAAATTAGAGAATGTATGTATTTAGTTCAGCACCGCATTACTGCTACCATTCCAGTAATTATTCGTTATCATTAAGAATGGTGATCACCAGGGTCCGTCACAAGGAAGGGCATGGAGTTTAATAAATAGCGAGGACCATCTCTTTGCAGCAGTAGGATAAATAAAAGGGCAAGTTCACAAGGGCAAGTGTGCGTAGGACCCAGTGGTCAATATGAGTAGTTAGGACTGTGTTTTGGGGGGAGAAATAAGGAAGAGAGATGGGGGAGAAAGGAAGAAGAGGAGAAAAGAGAGAAACGAACAAAAGAAGGGACAATCGTGCCGTATTAACTTAGAATTAAAAGGGAGCTATAGAGTCCTAGGAGTTGCTGCTCGGTTCCAAGGCAAACCCCAGTCTGCAAAATTTGGGGAATGCTGGTATAGGAATTGGAAAATGGGAATAATGAAGCCATTTTTATCAATAATTATCACGAGCTCGTAAGAAAAACAAAAGCTTTGGGTTAGAATCCTGGAAATACTATTTAATGAGCTCTCTGACTTTGTTCAGGTCACTTAACCTCATCTGAAAACGGGGCTGATAATTGCTACCTTGTGAGGACGGAGTGGGCTCACGTTTGTGAACCGTCAGCAAAGCTTCTAGAACACAACACATGGAGGAGGTTTATTCGGGTTCTGCCACTGACTTGCTTTCTGTCCTGGAGCGCATCTCCGTGCTGGTAGGAGAAGGCCTGGGGGGTTAAAGGCAGCCTTACAAGGTGCTCTGACAGGGAATACGGATTGTTGGAGGAGCTCATACTGGTATACAGCCAACCCCCCTTCCCTCCCCCACGTGCGGCCAGCAGGCTGGACGCTTCTGCAAACCGCCTCTGGATCAATTCATTGACCACAAAACGGTGAGACAATGGGACCACCGAGGGGCCTTGCTTTGCCCACTGGAGCGAAGGTCAGCATCAGACGCATTAAGAAATGGAAGCAATTTTCTTCCCACTGGAGGCTTCTATTAGGTATGATTGCCTGCATTCAGACCCTAAACTCTCCAGAGCTGGATTAGGGCAGGAACAGAGACAAAATCTGGAGAGGAGCCTGGCCCTGGAGCTGAAAGTAGGACCCAGAGGCTCCAAACATTTTTAACTACCTCTTTGCACTTCTTCCCAGGCTTTTCCTAGCCCACAGCCATCTGTGGCTTCCTCTGGTCGCACCCTGCCAGGTTCGCTGGTGACCAGCGGCTCGCTCTCTGTGGCTAGGTTTCTGTTTTCCGCCCCTCTCCTCCCAGCCAGCTGCCTTTGCCCTGATGAAGCCTCCCACCCCCTTTCGTTGACCATCCACTTTTATTAGCTGTTCTCACTAAGCTTGGGGCTAGACCCTAGACTCTAGACCCCAGACCTGAGCAGTATATAGTCCTGATCTCCAGCAACTTACCTTCTTAATTCAAGAAGGAAAAGAGATTTCAACACATAAAATAATAATAATAATAATAATAATAATAATGAATGACCACAGAGGAGCAAAGAGATGGAATTTGTGTTGGGAAAAGAGACTTTGTATCAGATGAGCACTGGACAGTATTCTCAGCACTTCATAGTGGGAAGATATTCTGTGAACTTGGGAGCTGGAGAAAGGCTTCGTGATGGTGGTTCTTGCATGACGTGAATGGTCCTTGCCAAGTTGGGATGGGGGAGCCATGTTGGGACGAAACTTCTAGAACAGTTTCAAAGAGCTGCTTGAAAGTTACCTCCTCTCCCCAACCACAGGCAGGTTAACCAGCTGCTCCTCTGCCCGCATTCCACATTTCCACCGTTTCCGGACCTGCTGTGCTGTAAGAATCTGTTACCGTGTCTCTATCTCTGGACTCCGAGTTTCTTGAGAGTGTGGATTTTATGTTACTCATTACTCATGCTTCATGCCTGGCACTTAGGAGGTATTCAGTAAGAGTTGACCTGATCTCAGATGAGTTTATCTGTGGATATTGGATAGGATGGTTCAAACAGAGGATGGGGCATCCATCCAGTTCCAGATGAATCCACCCGTCTCCGTGCACCAACCCCTTGCTCATTCCTGCAGACCCTTGCGTTATCCTTCTATTTGGTGAATATTTTCTGTTGAAATACATCCCTTCCCTCTCCCCAGGCAGAGCCTCTGTATGAACTGGTGACGGCCACAGACTTCGCCTACTCCAGCACAGTAAGGCAAAACATGAAGAGGGCCCTGGAGGAGTTTGAGAAGGAAGTCAGCTCTTGCCACTGTGCTCCTTGCCAAGGGAATGGAGTTCCTGTCCTGAAAGGTACCGTTTCCAGGCAGCTGGTGTCCCTGTGAAAGACGTTATCTGGAGGGGCTGGTGCTGGGGCCAGAACACATCATCAAATCCATATGCCCTCCAGAGTATCTCAAGAAGAGTTCTAGATCAATCCCTGGTCCTCTTCCTGAGGCCCCAGGGTCTGTCATGAAGTCCTCTTTGCTTTCTCAGGGGGACAAAAAGAGCCCCCTGGCCATTTGGAGCCTCGTAAAATGAGCTTCTCCATGTTGAACAGGCATTCAAGAGACCCAGAGCTACTGATGCTCGGGCCCCCACCTGGATCCTTGTGTGAGAATCTGGAGAAAGCTCCTCGTCGGGAAGGGTAAACCCTCTCCAGGTAGTTCTAATCTGCAGCCAGGGTGTGGCTCACAACTGCTGAAGTCTCCGCCTCCTTGGAGCACAATGAGGTGGGATTGGACAGAGGCCCCCCCGCCCCACCCCCCCACCCCCGCCCCTACTCAGGTGCAGCTCATGGGCAAATAGCACGATGTTCCTCTAAGGCAGAGCTCAGCCCGAGCTGCATGTGAGAATCACCCAGGGTGCTTTGCACAAACACAAAGCCCTGGGTCTCAGCCCGAACTAGTTAAAGTGAATCACTGGGGATCGGCCTTTGAAAAAGCCTACCAGATGATTGCACGATGGCATCAGGGCTGCGAAGCTGATCCACAGCTTAATCCGCTGGCAGACAGGATCCATGATTCCACCAGCTTACAAACCAGTGGGAAAGCTGGACTTTCCCGCTGAAGTGTACTGACCAGTAGGACAAGTGTTAGCCTGTTTCCCAAGAAGTCAGAGTGCAGGCAACTAGGTCATCTACCCTGGCCGCCGGAATGCCTTGGTTCCAGCCACAATGGACATGGCAGGTGGCAACATCACGCAACTGAAGTAGCAGGCCTAGGCTGTGCACATCCTGACCAACGCATGGTGAGAAGATGGGGGGATGGGGGAGCAGCAGCAAGGATGGGCCCCTTGAACTTGATTCCTAACTTCCGGGGCCATATCTGGGGCCACTGAAATCCGCAGGGCAAATTTGGGGTTGGCTGAGGCCTGGGATCTTGTGTTCCTGTCATGATGGCCAAGGAAGAGTCCAGTCCAGGATGAAGCCAAAAGAGGGTGTCAGGTGCAGTTGGGTCCAGCAGATCTGCACCCAGGGAGGGAGCCAGCTGGAGTTAGGGCAGAACCTCTGTGGACAGAGCCAGCTCAACCGGGCAGAGACAGGAGAAGACCTGTTCCCAACTGAGGTTGGGGAGTATGTGTCTAGCTTCTTGGACAGGGTGGATGGGAGCAACGGAGACATAAGTGAAAGCCTAAGGCTGGAAAGTTCTGCTGTCAGGACAGAGACATCGAAGTGGGGAGGAAGTCAGCAAGAAATGGGATCTGCCCATCAGCTCAACGTCGTGATCCAGGGTTGCTGATTCCCCTGGGGATCCAGGGTTGCTAGGTTCCCCTAGCCTTCATGTGAAATTTGGACCTAGAAACTGGAACCCACCTAAGGATGTGCACTAGTGTGAGAGAGAATACGAAGCCAGAGACAGGGTTGTTCATGGGCCTGACTTCTAAAGGATAATCCTGTGAAGGGACTCTGTGTGATCCAGATGTCACTCCAAGGTGACATGTTACGGATCAACTTAAGGAATAACTTCCAAAGGGCCAGAATTGGCCAAAGGTGGGACGAGACATCTGAGGACAGTGAGTTCCCAATCACTGGAGTGTTCCGGCGGAGGCTGGACAATTAGATGGCTCGGGGTGAAATTGAGCACCAGTGACCATTGGCTTCCGCGACCACTAATGTAGCTTCCAACACTGGAAACTCACACCGCTGGGTCAAACATGAGCTCACGAGTAATTCCCCTCAGCAACTCCGTATGGTTCCCGGTGACCGGCAGTAACCACCCTTCAGGAGCACAAGACCCTCAGGGAAGGAGTAGGTATTCTTAGCATGGAACCTTCTTATCTTAAACCCTTCAACTAAATGTTTCCCCTATTTTTTTTTTTAATTTTTTTTTCAACGTTTATTTATTTTTGGGACAGAGAGAGACAGAGCATGAACGGGGGAGGGGCAGAGAGAGAGGGAGACACAGAATCGGAAACAGGCTCCAGGCTCTGAGCCATCAGCCCAGAGCCCGACGCGGGGCTCAAACTCCCGGACCGCGAGATCGTGACCTGGCTGAAGTCGGACGCTCAACCGACTGCGCCACCCAGGCGCCCCAATGTTTCCCCTATTTTAACCTAATGGCAAAGTGATGTGGAGGGCTGAACTCCAGGAATTGTGTTTCACACTCTGTCTGCATTGTCTTTTCAGAATCCCGCTGTGAGTGCATCTGTCCTGTTGGATTCCAGGGCCCAGCCTGCGAGGTCACCTACGAGAAAAGTAAGGAATCTTGAGTCGGTTGGAAAAGGGAAATCTGGGCAGTTCTAGAGAATAATTGAAAAGGGCAAGAGCACAGGGGATGCTGGGTTGGGGGCCGGGTGCTGTGAAATTTGAGATCCATCCTGGCTCCTGACTTTATCTTTCATTATTTTCACACCTGAGAATGCTTCATGTTACAGGACTGTTAATGCACGGCATTTGCAAGTCATTTCTTTGAATCCTTCTGGAATGCTTACCTTTTTTCTTTCTTTTTTTTTTTTAACTGAACTTTTATTCAGTCCTCAAAATCCAGCAGGGATGCCCCTTCTTCTGTAAAAGTTCTAAGCCTCCACCCCTGACTAAATTTAGTTAACTCTTCCTATGTGTTCCTGTAGCACTTTGAACATATACCTAATATAGCTCTTAGCACATTATGTTTTGGGTTGTGTGTGTCTTTCTCCCCAGTGTGTGTGAGCAGAGATCATGTGCCATTTGTTTCTGAGTCCCCATGGCCCAGCCTAGCTGGTGCTCAGTGCTATGGCCTGAATTAACAAAGGAAAGACTAGACTCTCATTGGGATCCTTTCCAGCTCTCAAATTCTTTGGCCAGTTTATTACCTAAGAGTTCTGAATATGCCCCCACCCCTCACTCCTCCTTCCCTTTCCTCTCCTCTCTGTGGCTTTTGGATGATATCATGAAAAAAGGAAATGGCATGGGGCACCTGGGGTGGCTCAGTCGGTTAAGCGTCCGACTTCGGCTCAGGTCATGATCTCACAGTTTGTGGGTTTGAGCCCTGCGTTGGGCTCTGTGCTGACAGCTCAGAGCCTGGAGCCTGCTTCAGTTTCTGCGTCTCCCTCTCTCTCTCTCTCTGTCCCTTCCCTCCCTCCCCCCACCCCCCAAAAAAGAATAAAAATAAAAAACAAACAGGAAAACAACGAGGCACTGTACTACGTATCAGGCACCTTGATGAGTGCTTGGACTCAGCTTGTGCTTGAGTTTCATCAGTAACTGTGACCTTGAGCAATTTACTTGACCTCTTTGTGCCTCAGTCTCCTCATCCGTAAAATGGAGCTGGTGGTATTAACTACCTCCTAGAGCTGTCTTGAGTTTCTCATGAAACCTCAAAGCGCTTGGAATAACGCCTAACACATGTAAGAGCAAAATAAGTGTTGGTTGGTTTGTTTTAGAGCAAAATAAAGTGCATTTTACATAACACTAAATCTTTTTATCCTCACAACAACATGACAGAGTAGGTACCATCAATATCCTCATTTTACTGATGAAGAAACTAAGGTTCAGTGAGTCACTAACTTGACCAGAGGTCACACAGTAAGTGTAGGAGCCCAGGTTTGCACTATCCATTCTCCTCCCCAGTGAAATGCTCACCTCCCACCACCAGCACAAGCCCACACGGTCCTGTGCCCAGTGAGTGTGTAATCGCACAACCACAGGATTTCTCCTGGTTGGAGGAGACACTGGACACCTCCTGCTGTAGCCTTCTCGTTTCACCAGTGGGGCAGGCCCAGAGATACTAGGTGATGTCTGCAGAACTATACTGCCCATCAGAGGCTCGGCCAGACACCTGATGTATCATGGTGGATGGAATCGGTTACTTGTCAGTCTCATCAACAACCACAGAATCCTCATGGGAAAGGCAAATGTCAGGGAGGGGAGAGTACATTATTTGTTATTATTTCATATAACACGCAGTGCTTACGGTATATAACAGAGTTCCTGCTTCGTACTTTGACAACAAGTAAACTAGCCAGCATCCTATACCTGGGAGGTGACCCAGCTGGGAAGCACTCGTGCATTCATCCAAAGAATGTTTACTAAAGACCCCCTGGGTGCCAGCTTAGGTGCTAGGGTTCAGTGGCGAGCAAATCATACATAGATCCTGTCATCGTGGAGATTACTGTTTAGAGAGAAAGACCGACGTCATTTGAATTGTCCCAGAAATACATTTAAAGCTGTAATTGTCACTGCTATAAAATGCTCCAAGAGCTTAAAATATGATGGATTGGTGGGGAGCTAGAGGTCAGGGAAGGTTTCCCCGCAGAGATAATCCTTCAACTGAGATCTGATGGGCGAATAGGATTAACCAGATAAACAGAGGAGGGAAGAGTATACTGGGCCAGGGAAACAGCATCTACAAAAGCTCTGTGGTAGAAGGGAATATGGCGAGTACCACGGTTTGCAAAAAGGACAGCTGACTGGAGAGAGGAGATCTGAGCAGACTCACCAAGCCTTTTGGCTTATACACCCCACCCCCAACCCCAGATGGCACCAGGGTGTAACAAGGGTTGATTAACGTTTGATGACCTTCTTCCTTACAGATGTCCCCATTGATGGGAAATGGAATTGCTGGTCAGACTGGTCTCCGTGTTCTGGAGGACAGAAAACAAGACAAAGGCAGTGTAACCATCCACCTCCTCAGAATGGAGGCAGCCCCTGCGTGGGCCCTGCTTCAGAAACACTTAACTGTTAAGGAAGGAAAAGCTTCTAGCACCTACTACTGTGGGCTGCACACTGCGAGAGCTCTGAGCCCTTAGGAACTCAGGCCAGGTTACCTCATACCAGCTCCCAGCTGGGGCCATCCCAAGGGTAGAGGGCCGTGCCACTCAGAGCGTTTGAAATAAAGATGTTATTTGCAAAATGCACGTTGATTTGAACAAACAGCTCAACGTCAACTACATGTTGCTTAAGGGCTTAAGAATCTCGGTAATCCTCCCTTTGCTCATCTGTATAATTTTATCCCATTCACGCGTATTATCAGCCAGAAACTGTGTTAGCAGTTGTTCACACTGAAGTCCCACTGTGTGAGGGGCACATAGTAGGTACCCAATGATGAATCAGTGACTAGCTATTAAGTTTTTCCTCCCTTGAGGACTGCATGGTCTTATTCAGTGACAATAGCAGTGAATATGTATCGAATGATTACTGTGCCAGCCTCGGTGCTCAGTGTGTTAATTCATTCCATCCTCATGACAGCCCTATGAGGTGGATGCTGCGTTAGCCCTATTCAGCAGCTGCAGAACTGAAGCTTAGAACAGTTAAGTGGTTTGTCCAGGGTTGCACAGTCAGGAAGTGGCAAAGCTGGGCTACGAACCTGGGCACTTGGGCTCCGGAGGTTTAGACTCTTAACTGTGATGCTCCCTTGCTCTCCATACATGGGCATTTCTTGACAATGAATTTTTTTCCGAAATTAAATGTAGGAGAAAGTGGGGGGGGTGTGTGTGCGCGCGCATGTGCGTGCCTGTGTTATTGAGTCTCCACCCCCTGCATCCCGCGGAGAGTGGATCCTGGTTCCTCAGCTCCCTTTGATGCTGAGCAAAGGAGAGGCAAGGCTGTGCATGTCAGAAGCAGAGTTCCGGGGCGGAGCTGAATTGCTGTGACATGAGCAGGTGCCTAGAGAAGGCCCTGAGCTGGGAAATTGATAACTGAATGAGAGACAGACAGAGGAATGCAGGTAGGAGGTGGGG